TGGATCCAGACTTCACATTGGGATTGAGACATTGGACGAGGGATTATTTGGGACCTGTACCGAAGACTTGGTGTTGACGACATTCCCATCTTCCCCTCTTCTTCGTCTAACCCCCTCTTCTTCGTCTGTGTATGGTTGGGGACTGGCGCATTCTTCCTGTGTGAGCGTCAGGCCCCTTCACACGATGGAATGATGATGATGGATGCCTTGCAACATTGATTGTTCGGATCATTGGTATTTAAGCCTTCCGCTACGTTATCTTGTACTACGTGAGAGAGGTCGGTTCTTGGTATGCGACATCCAGTCTCATAGCTCTTTCTTGATTTTATGGGTGGTGGTCCATGACCGTTCTTTAGTTGGGGAGGGCGTGATTTGCCTTGTTAATCCCGTTAAACCACCAGTGCGGCGCTTCCCTGTTAACGCGCTGCGGCGTTTGGGCGTCGGGCTACGGGACCACATTGACTGGAGGCCACAGCCAAAAAGAAAACAAAAAGCGCCGTGGCTGTTCGACTCAACTTGGTGTGCAGGGTGCTTGGAGGATCGATTGGGGAGGGAGTGATTTGCCTTGGTAATCCCATTAAACCACCAGTGCTTGGCCCATATACCAGCCGCGGCGCTTCCCCGTTAATGCGCCGCGGCGTTTCCCCGTTAATGCACCGCGACGTTTCCCCGTTAACGCACTGCAGCGTTTGGGCGTCGGGCTACTGGACCATATTGACTGGAGGCCGCAGCCAAAAAGAAAACAAAGACGCGCTGCGGCGGTTCGGTTCAACTTGGTGTGTCGGGTGCTCGGAGGCTAGGCTTCGATAGTTGGGCCAAGTACTGGTGGTTTAACGAACAAGTTGTGTCTGTGTGCGGGCTTGCGTGTGCGTTACGAATCTGACGATGTTTTGAGTATGCTACTCTATCTACCTGATTGACCAACGGGTCTCCCGCAGTTGGTATATGCATGAACTGTTGGAATATAGACACAGGTTCAAATCCAGATGCAACCAGATAATAAACAGAACAAAAAACACTCCCGAATTACCTGGGCGAGGTCAGTTAAATGATGTGAAAAAAAAAAAGAACTCTCTGCCAGATTGATTTCAATTACCTAATTCCGTTAACGAACGAGATCTCGGCCTGCTAAGTAGCTACACAGGGACCTTTCCTCGTTCCCGGCTTCTTACAGGGACTGTTGGACGGCGACTGCGTTCACCTGAATAGAGCGCCCGATCATTATAGCTGTGATTGGGGCAACTTCGGTCCACGTGCAGCGACAATGACTAGCGTTCTATTCGTCTGAAGACGGTAGTCAACGGAAGTATAAGGCAATGGCTGATCTGTAATGCCCTTAAATGTTCTGGGTGGCACGCGTGCTACACCAATGAATTCAACGAGTTTCTTGCCTGGGTGGAAAAGGGCCCGAGAACCAAGTCCCACTTGCCAAAATTCGTCATTTCCCACTGTCAAACTACGGTCAGAAATGACGAAGATGGGTGAAACAAAAGAAAACAAAACAAAAAATAAACTTTGCAAACTACGGTCAGAAATGAAGGAGACGTCAAGATGGGTTAAAAAAAAAAAAAACTCTGCAAACTACGGTCAGAAGGGAAGGAGACGGGTGAAACCAAAAAAAAAAAAAAAAACAACTGTGCAAACTACGGTCAGAAATGAAGGAGACAAGTAAGTTGGGCTTGGCCCGGGGTTACCTTCTCAAGGTTCATCGTGATGGGGATATATTGGTCTAATAATCTCTAATTGTATCAATCTTGGGGCCAAGTTGCACTACTCGCTCTCCGCCATTATTTTGAATGCATCAGGATGGATTTCCCTGTGGAGATTCATCCCAAATTTTGATGGATGGCGAGTGACTGCAACTAGGCCATTGAACAAGGAATGCCTAGTAAGCATGAATCGTCAGCTGACACTGATTACGTCATTGCTCTTTCTACCCACCACTCCTGGCGATAGTATGGGTTAGGGTGAAGTGGCTGTATCACAGTGATCGAGGAGGGGGGGGGGGGGGGGGGGGGGGGGGGGGGGGGTGCAGTTGGGGGGGATGCTATGAGAAGCTCATTGAGTTGACAAAGAATAGTGAGACTAAGCGAAGACAAGGTCTAGAGAGACAAAGTCAAAGCAAAGCACGTCACAGGTACACCGAAGTACAAAGTGAAAGTTGATTGCAAATCGTCGGTGGGTAGGCACCCCGACCGGTTTCGGCTGTCGCCACACGGCCTCCTCAGGGGGAATACCACCACTTCGTCCCTTCACAAAAGCCAACAATCCATCGTTCCCACCTCCGTTGCCGGATCCACCACCATCTCCGGAGTGATAGCAGCATCCGACCGCGTCGGACCCAAAAAGAACTACATCGGCGCAATCATTACACTTATAGGGAGGTTAGTACTAACAAAACAAGACAACGAAAAAACACCTGAACCGAAAGCAACCTGTCACAACGCAAAACTTCCTAAAAAAGAAAAAAGAAAAAATTCAAAATGACAAAATCATAAAACCGTCCTAGACGAGACAAAGTGTCCCAGAGTATAGTATTCTCAACTGGACCGCAGCAGCCCCCCGACTTACTTAGTCCAGTTGTACCAAGGCCACACGTCCTATGGGCCCGTACCCACGACGGAGCTAGACCTGAGCTGGATCGTATGCTGCAAAAGATAGGATAAGCGGACAAACGTCCAAATCCGATGGCCAAAAATGAGCTTGTTCGTACCAAAGGCGCACCCCGTAGCCGAGAAACAGAAAACGAAAACAGAGAACAAAACGAGCCAGGTATCGATGCTCCGCCCTATCCAACTAATCCAGAAATATGATAATACCGCATTCCATGGCCCTGTCCGACTAATCCAGGAAAACGGTAGCCGGAACCGCATACTGCAAAACAAAAAATAAAGGTAAAAATGATATCGCAATGCTATACACATCGAACATCCCATCTATCGCACGGAAAACACTGCGCTACTGAAAAATCTACAAGTATGGAAAAACTGCAAGTACGAAAAAAACAACAAGTACGGAAAAAACAACAACACGCAGCCATGAGGAACGTGCCGACTTACGGATACAACCAACAATATGTGGTTTCCCTGATCGGGTCACGACCAACTGCGAAGCTACGCATGATCCGTTGCAGGAACTGCTTAGGGAAATCCTTCAAGCGGGCCGCTTCAGGTTCAATACACGCATGGGAATTTCAGCGATTGCATTCGTATTTCGGTGGATACGATGCAGATAACTGCAAACAACAACACTTTTCTGATCCTTACTACCCCAGGATTGGTAAGTCTGCCCGTTCTTGAATTCGAGGCACTCATGTTCCCAGATCATATGCTCGTTCTTCAACATTTGATAACAACTGACAAAGGGCTGCAGACTGTCAACCTTCAGGAAATCCCGAGACCCAGATCCGTCGTCAGTTCGAACAAGTGTTAAATTATCAGGATAACACTGCCCAAAGCAAGTCCGGATTCGGTCGACAACTGCCCTTCCCCCTTTCGGTTTACTGATAAGAAGGCTAACATCATCCATAAGTCGGATGCCGAACACATAACGTCGGAGCCTCCCAATGGAATTCAAGAATCGAAACTCAGCGAAGGCACAAAGAATACACGCTAGGGGCGGGCTGGTGCTTTTTCCCATTGGGATCCCAACCACCTGCTTCAGCACCACGCCCGTAGCACGCGTAAAAGTGTTCCTAAGATCAAGCGACAAGAAACATCTGAGAACCTCCAAGTCAACTTCCCTCCAATGGTCATCGCCCGTAGTTCTACCAGAAGTGCTTCCCTTTCCTCGAGTGTTTACACGGACCGAGGCACGACCCTTACTCAAATGGTAATCTATAATCCAGTGGACAGCTGCCATGATCTCGTCATGGGGAAGCTTGCTGAACATGTCTTTAATATCATAAGACATGCCAGCAAGTTCCGGGTTGCCAGAGAAATGGCGACCGACAGTACGGTTGACGCGTTCCAAACACGGAACCAGAGATGATACCGACTTCAGGTTAAAATGCCAGTTCTCCGACAAGGCAAAAAGCAGGTGATTCAACACTTTCGCCACGCTTTTGCATGTCTTATTGGTGGGTTCCGAAAAGGTGGGGCAAATAGGTCGGTATCGTGAAAAGTCCTTGTGCTTAGGTAGGACGTATGCCTCACCTAGCTTACCCTTCTTGTCCCACCTCACAAAACGCAACAGACCGTGCTCTCGCAAGTCCTCCACCATCCTGGTATGAACAACAGCTTCATTCTGCTGCACGACAACGTACCCCGAGGAGCATACAAACAAGCCTCATAGTACAACTTCGGGCATAGTACCAAAGTCTCGCCAGGATTCCGATCCAATGGCGTCAGTACCAGACCCGAAAGATCCCTACCAAGACTCCTAACTCAGCGCACATCGAGGTATTCAGCCACTTCCCCCGATGGCGCGACCATACATCTCCGAGCTTCGGACAGAAGGACAAATGGCGTCTCACCCCTGCGATTAGCCCAGGATTATAAACCTAACTCAATCTCCTGAATCAACAGCGCGCACCGGTTGGGGTGCGACTGCTTAGGGATGTTATTCACATTAAGAATGAGCGGATGGACGCCCTCGATATCCTGCAAGCGAGCCTGCACGTGGCCACCTACCCTGGGGTAGGGGAAACCTGCACATGAACAGGTTGACACATCAGCGCGCGCAAAAGTGCGATGATTGTGTAGTAAGTCCGCCACCGACGGGTTCTTAACCCAGACAATCCGAACCGCGCAACATGCTGCAATCTTGATGCAGGCAGGGATATCCAGACTCTCAATCTTATCGTTTAACACCTTCCTAACCTCGACCACCTTGATCCGATCATCGTACTTCAGCCGAACAATTATCCTAGAATTAATACACCAACCAAAGGACCTCTTGATAGCACGCGCTATATGTCTACGTAGGTAAGCGGTAGTCGACAATCGCTGAAAATCTTTAGCAGTATCCATCAAACGAACCAACGCCTCGAGATTATAGTCAAACAGTCTTGCGAGTAATCCAGGATTGCGCAACATAGAGACCAAAAACTTCTTGTCTGGTCCAACCTTCGGCTTCCATCTTCTAAGTTGGCAGAACTCCAACTCGGTGCCTTGCTCAAGCAGGTGTTTGCATTCATATAGCCGTTTTTTCAGTCCCTTCGCCTTCACAATAGAGCATCCGAATGTTGACTTGACGGACTTCCAACCGCCACACCAACTATTACCTCCTCGTGTCGTCAACCTAAAAGATCGGCGCCCTCTCTCCTCCTGTTGCTGGAGCAGTCTAAATATGTCCACCCTCCAATCCTCACAATCGTCCAACTTCGCACAAACAGCCGTTATTGTACTGGAACATCTGGTGTCCACTCCCCGGTCTGCCATGTACAGGTAATCCCTATGGCTAGCTTTCCGCCGTTCCCTCTTACCCTTCCGGACACGGCAACTCCGATGTCGACGTTTCCTAGCCTTCCCAGTTGTATTCAACACAGGGCTCCATCTGCGAATGTACAACTCTTCAAGTTTCGGTAGCTCGTCCGTCGTACACGTGTCCAAAGGTAGCAAGACATAGGATTCTTCTCCGAATACTCTCCACCAACGGTACAGGTGGTTTTTCTTAAGACCACGGCCTGAGACAGACAAGTGTTCCTTCCAGCGAACGTTGAAGGAACGACCCGTCTGACCAACATAGGCCGCCTTACATAACGGAGAAGAGATCAGGTATACACCCGTACCTTCGCCAAGGAAGAAATCCATGCCATGACGCATAAACAGGCTAACCTAGGAACACGCACACTTACGTAACCACCTTATCTGCCCATTCAGAGCAAGCAACATGACAATCATACGATAGAGTCGCTCCAAGGTAGGGTCGAAGGGGGATTCCCTTCGGACCTGTATCAGAGCCCGACAAAGACTCCATAGCTGCCCAATGCTTTAGGATTCCACGTCCTCCTCAGTGTCTGACTTGGTATCATCATCAGCGACGACAGCCGGATCCCCATGCTCCGCGGCCTCCGCCTCGGCAACATCATGGTCTGACCCGTAGGCGATGTGTGTCCGCTTATCGGCAATAGCTAGAATCGTTTCCATCTTCTTAGATTCGTACTGAACATCTTCCAAACGACATATCTCCTTTAGCTGGTCCATCGTCATATTTCCGAGTGTCTTCAGGTTCTCCGTAACGAAACTCAGCTTCCCCATTAGTCCAGCCGCTGCTGGAATCTTGCTCTTCCGAACGCTACGTCGCGGCGTCTTCCTCGGATTCTTCCTTGTAGGCGTCTTCTTGAGAGGTGGTCGGCGACAGCTCAGCTGTAGCCGCTTGGTAACCCGCACGGTATCCAGTTCCCCACGTTTAGCGGAGCGCTTCGTCGGTGTCTCCATAGGTGGGCTATCCCCCACCACTTTTTCGGGGCCGCGTTTACGCTTCTCATTGATCGTCAGCTTCTCCGCCAGGTCACTCAAAGCTTCCACGTCACTGCTCTCAGATTCGTACGATTCCGCCTCGGAGAGTACCTCCTCGGCCTTGCCTTTCCCTTTAGCGAGAGCAATAACACGATTAATCTTGCGCTCTAGGTGCTCTCCTAGACCTCCAACATCCATGGAGATTTGCATTCGCATCTCGTTACGGAACCTCTCCCGTTCGATCTCATCTCGACGTAGCTTTTCCTCCTTTCGGTCTTCACGGCGCTTCGCAGCAAGGCGCTCCTTCTCCCACTCCTCTTTCTCCATCTTCTCCTGCTTTCGCTTCGCTTTTTCGTCCTTCTTAGCCTGTTCTCGATCAAAGTGCTCTTTCATACTCACCAGCGAACCAGCAAGCTCCTCCAGCTGTTGTTTAACGGTTGGATCTTCCGACGTAGAGCGTCTCCCATGCGCTGAGGTTTGTCTATTTGGAGACAACTAGCGTCTGCGCGTCATACCCGCCCTTGAGCTGCCTTCCCCCATCAACCTGGGACATTGATTGCGATAATGTCCAGGTTCTCCACATTCGAAGCAAACAGGAGCTGCCCTCCTAGGTTGCTCCCGATAGTCTTGACTTCTTTCGTAAATCGGACCCCGCTCGTACTCCCTCGTACGGTCCCCTCGTACATCCCGGCTATGTTCACGGTGGTCACCGCGCCCAAAGTCCCGGCGGTAATCCGGAAAACGATCACGATCATGATCGCGACCGGATCCACGGTAGCCTCCATTAGTCATAGTCACCCCACCTCCGTCCCAAAAGACCACCGAAAAAGCCGAAGATATCAGTGAACCGTCGAAATCAGCGTGTGCTGCTTAGACTGTTCTGCTGCCAAAGCTCTGCGCAATCGCTGATACGTAAACCAAAAACGTTCCAAACAGCACGTCAAACCGACGCCCGAGTGTCCCGTCAAACAGTAGCCAGTTGTAGTAGCAGTACGAAGTATCGAAGCAAGGTAGTCAGCGCCCGTAGAGCAACAGCGGTAACAAACAGTAGTAGCGGTTGTCGGAGCAGAAAACTCGTAACCCTCAGTAGTAACAACGAACAACAGACATGTAGTACCAGCAACAAAACTTAGTATGTTCACACTTGCTCGGCGACCTTGTCGTAACAGGTTCACATACGCCTTCTGTAGTTGACAGAGAATAGTCAGACTAAGCGAAGACAAAGTCCAGAGAGACAAAGTCAAAGCAAAGCACGTCACAGGTACACCAAAGTACAAAGTGAAAGTTGATTGCAAATCGCCGGTGGGTAGGCACCCCGACCGGTTTCGGCCGTCGTCACACGGCCTCCTCAGGGGGAATACCACCACTTCGTCCCTTCACAAAAGCCAACAATCCATCGTTCCCACCTCCGTTGCCGGATCCACCACCATCTCCGGAGTGATAGCAGCATCCGACCGCGTCGGACCCAAAAAGAACTACATCGGCGCAATCATTACACTTATAGGGAGGTCCTAGTACTAACAAAACAAGACAACGAAAAGACACCTGAACCGAAAGCAACCTGTCACAACGCAAAACTTCCTAAAAAAGAAAAAGAAAAAAGAAAAAATGCAAAATGACAAAATCCTAAAACCGTCCTAGGCGAGACAAAGTGTCCCAGAGTATAGTATTCTCAACTGGACCGTAGCAGCCCCCCGGCTTACGTAGTCCAGTTGTACCAAGGCCACACGTCCTGTTGGCCCGTACCCACGACGGAGCTAGACCTGAGCTGGACCGTATGCTGCAAAAGAAAGGATAAGCGGACAAACGTCCGAATCCGATGGCCAAAAATGGGCTCGTTCGTACCAAAGGCGCACCCCGTAGCCGAGAAACAGAAAACGAAAACAGAGAACAGAACGAGCCAGGTATCGATGCTCCGCCCTATCGAAGCTCATTGAAACTCGTCAGAACAAAAAGAAGAAAAAAAAAGAAGCCTGAGTATGGTAGAAAATTCCTACCTTTCTTTTCCCCCCTATGGTTCCAAGTGGCCCTTTTTTCTTTTTTTTTTGGGGGGGGAAGGGGGAGGAAGGGGGAGGAAGTGGCCTGAATCTACAATGAGAGGGAATCTGATTATTTGAATCCGTTTCAGTCTTCCAGGCATATTTGCTTCCTGTGGCTCTTTTTTCTTTTCTTTCTATGCTCACAAATAACCAGTTCACGTCCCCGTCGTGACGCGTCGTCCCGTAATTTTTTTTTTTTTTTTTTTTTTTTTTAA